GTGGGAAAGTGATGCCTAAGATCGTTGTCGGTGTATCAGAGTCAATATTTGGATTTTCAGTTTGGGGAGCTTTAAACAGTGGATCAAATTGATCAATATCAGAAAGAACTTGTGCAAGTTCTGGCTAAGTCTGAACAAATTAGGTAGAAGGTGGATTAATTATAGGATTATTTATAGGTATTGAAGTATCAATTTCTAGGTCAAAATAACCAAGGGTTTGTGGAGATGGATCTTCAACAGGTTTGGGAGATGATGGGGTTTCAGATATTAATAAAATCATTGATTCAATAATAGAAACAAAATACGAGTAACCTTTCTTTTTGGCAGCTATAATGGTTTTCTGAGAAGTTCCTTCTCCATCAGCTTTCCTTTTTCTTGACTTTCTGGTAGCAACTTCCAGAGGTTGTTTCCTTATATTAAAAATATTCACCTCTAGAATCGTATCATCACTCTTGCAAGCTTCCAGATACCTGAGAACAATTTATGTAGATGAGTCTGCTTGAGTGAAGAGAGGAAAATCCTTTAGAGGCACTCTTCTGGTGATGATGACTTCCTTGGTGGTGATTGTTGGATCCTTCTTAATGGTTTCAATTACCTTCATTCTCTTCAGATTCTTGGAATTTAGAGGCTTTCCAGCACATGGTTCCAGAACATTTACTTGTTGAGCCTCAGTCAAATGTTCTATCAGTCTGTTTTTGTCTGAATATCTGAAATGAGTCTTCCCAGAGGAATCCAATCTCTCTTGATTCTTTCTTCTTCCCTTATTTCTTTGACACTTTTCTTCAGATGGTTGAATAGAAAATGCGGAAGATGAACTTTGGCTTTGGTGGCGATGAAGTATAGAAGGTATTGTTGATCAATGTTGATGTAGTCAGGAGAGCTGGTTGGTTTTCTGTGATTGATGCACCCCAGAATTATTTTAGACCAAATTCTGAGATAATCCTTCAGATCTTTGATTTTGTTTGATGGTTTTCCAAAGGAAAAGATTTCTTTTGAGGTGATGGTTAGGTTAGAACCTCTTTCTACAATTTCAATGCATCTTATACCGCTGCCGTCATGACCTATAAGCTTTCCAATAATATCTTAAGTGATGCTGATATTCTTTCCCATAACATAAGAAGTTACCTGATAATTTGAAGTTGTGGCATGGATCCAAAATTCGTTCACTAATTTTGGAAAAACTGGACCTATGATATGATCAAAGTATTTTGTCCATCCTTGGAACTCAACATCAGGGGTTAAGTCATACCCCTTTTCTTTCATGCTAAAAAAATCAACATTAAGTTCACATAGAACTTCCAGAGAATCAACAGGAGTGAGAAGAGTTCTTGATGGTTCAACGTACCTTTCTTCATTAAAATATAAAGAACCAGGAATGATTTGAGAACCTATAGAGATTTGAAACAACCAGATGAAAATCATCAAACAATGAAGTCGCCATCGAACGTCTTTTATCCCATATGAAGGGAAAGGTAAACAACGAAAAAACCTGAGAAGGGAGAAGTCACGGTCTTGCGACCGAGAGATTGGGTAAGGGAGTTTGTTACACGAGGGGGAGGTATTAGCACCCCAAACGACCCTAGTACTCTACGGTATCCACTCTTTTTGTCTATCTTATGGGTGTCTCTAAACTATACTTACTACTTATTGCTGAAAGAATGCATGCAAAAGGAAGGATAAAAGAATGTAGGGAAAATAAAGTTGTACTCGCTTGGGCCCTACCCCAATTCCTATGTATCCATTTTGAGGAATCAGAGCTACCATAGTTCAACTACATTTTTTTATTTGTTTGTGTTTTTTTTGGATGATGCTAATTTCGCCTTCTGTTGCAGCTCGACCTTTGGTGACACACACGTTGGCTCAGAAGTAAATTAATCATGTCCTTACCTGAAAAGGCTTTTAAAGAAAAGGTGCTCGAGCGTACAAAAAGGTTTGAGTTAGTTTGTATTTTTGTTACCTTGAAAAAGGGTTTAAGTTTTATTAGTATGTTTTATGATTTGCTAAAGAAAAGGTTTTAGGTTTAAATACATATGGAAAAGGGGAAGAAAAGAGTCTAAGGGAGACTAGCCTATTTCTAAACCTAATGTTATCATACAATGGTACTCCTAAGATTTGGATTAAAAAAAGGGAAATGTCTACCTAACATTAGCATACATGGCTTGCAACCTAAGGTCTAACTCGCGTTCGAACAGAGCAAGCACATCCCATGGGAACATGGTATGGAAATTGAGTAAACAAACAAGCTCGAAGAAGCACAGGCATAAAAGAGTAAGGAAAAGAAGAGAAATGCTTTAGCCAAGGGGAGCGTATCACCCGATACAAACAACCAGGAGTGAGATGTAAAATAAAAATGTGATGTTCAAAGTGACTGAACACCTAAGAAAGATATAAGAGATCGAGGTAAGCGGAAAAAGACAATATGAACAATTACGGAGTATCAGCATTGGCCAATGAGAAATCCTAAAAAAGTGTGGGGGTTCGATTGTGAAACCCTTCCCCACTTGACGACTATATATACAAGAGCAGGCACAACTCCGAAGCTTTGTGGTGCGTCACGAGCTAAGGATGACACAGACGAAATTGCGGGGGTTGATTACTAACCCTTCGCGCTCGCCTCTTTTTGAGGATATCAATAAGGGATGGGGGAATAGTGCGGGCACAAATATAAACACACCTGCATAATACCTACTCAAAGGTAGGATTTAAAACAATCCACACACAAGTAGAGAACATAATGCCCACAATGTGGAATTGCCCTAAACTGGTCTTTAAATAAACCAGAGGGGTTCCTGACATGATCAACAACGGAGACCCCCGTCATACATCTCTACCCTACTTCTCATGGCATCAGAAAGCAATAAAGTCTTACTTCTCATGATATCTAGAAGAACGGTAAAGAAATATAGTAAAGTGCAAAGAAGTACGAAGGTAGTAGCAGCGACTACCAAAGCGAGCAAATCGTCAAGAGCAGATGAAAGCAATTGAGAAGCAGGGAATACGTGTCTAGCAAGATTCACTAAGAAACAAACAAAGTTAGAAATAATATCCAACTAAGATAAAAGCACATGCGTATTGTGAATGCAGTGCGCAATCAGATGTTCCTGCGCAAAGCTCGTAAAGCATCACACGCATCAAGACAACATATAATACCATATGAATCTCTCGAGACGATAAGAAATAAAGTGTGTCGCATCATAAGCAAGCATAAGCCGTATGCTTCGATCACATAACTACCAGTTATGTTACATGATTGAAAGCACAAAAAATGTACTTTGCACAATGAACAAACGCGTCAAAATATAACATGGCAAAGCGGCACGAAAATGCGGATAAAACCTAAAAGAGAAAAAGTATTTTTTTATTAGTTTTTATGTGTAATTAAAATTCCAAAAAATTAAAAGATTTAATTCCTACGAAATTTCTAATATTCTATTATGTTTTTATTTTATTATATTTTTACAAAAGAAAACTAATTCTAAGAATGAAAATAATAGAGTCAGGGGGGTGTACTGCCTAGATCCAGTGATGCATTGCAAGCAAGCAGGGCGCTAGGCCCAATGCAGAATGAGTCCAAGAGATTTCTTTTGGTGTAACAACTCAGAAAGGCCAAAAATAGTGTGAAACAGGCCTCAATGGGGGGTGGTAAGCGCAACAATGGCCCAATGGATTTATCTTCATCTCCAATACCAACCCATATTATTTTCCATAATTTTATCAAAATAAATAATAAATAAAAACTCAAATGAAAATCACAAAATGTATGGATTAGGTTTTATTGGATGTGACTCTTAAGATTCATCAAAGGGAACTCAACTCTTCTTCTCTCTCAACCGCAGGAGCAACTACATCTCCTTATTATTTGTCCCTTTTGAAACAACATTGCCGTATGTCTCCCCTCCGTCTCAATTCGTTTCCATTCATTCTCCAATTCCACTTCTAATCTCCTCAAATGTAGGGAAAAATAATGAAACCCTAGAAGTTTCAAACCTCAATTAAACGATAATGGTGTTGAGTTGAATATTGAGGCGTTAGGGAAATTATTTAGCAAGAAAAGATGTATGAAGTGGTGACAAGCTCGATGCAAAGAAGTGAAGAGATGAGGAGGATCGGAACTTACCTACCGGAGTAACTCCGGCATTTCTTGATTTTGACGATGGAGTGGAAGCAAAGTCGGAAGATGTGTATTCAGGTATTAGCTCACGATTCCTTTACTTCTGTCGCGAATCTTCTTCTTTCCACTTCTCTAATTTGATTATGATTTGTGCTTTTCCGTCGCGTCGATGTTGTATTGGAGATATTGCAAATCGAACTGTTACATTGAATTTGATAGTGATGATGAACGTGACGATAAACGTTGCAGATCTCCGATGAAGATGCGCGAGGAGGTGAAGATGGAAATTGCAGAAAATGATGAAGTTGATGATGAAGGTGATGATGAGGTTGCAGGTTGTTGAGCGACAGCGATGTCGAAGATTGAAGGTGCCAAGTTTGTAACAAAATGAAGGTGAAGGGGAAAGGAGAAGAGAGAGTGCAGAAGATGATGGTGGAAATTGTCGAGAGAATGTAGATTTTCAGAAAAAGAACAAAGATTCGCAGAGGCTTCAAGGTTGAGAGAGAGTCTTCAGATTTTGTGGTGAATTTTTCTACTGAGTTTTTTTGTGAATCTTCAGAATGTCCATAATCCAGTCGAAACTGGTAATTTTCTATTTATATATGTTGTTAGAGCTGAGAAAAGTTTGTTAGAGAAAAACAGATCTTGGCCCTCAGATCTTGATTTTCTGTTATGAGAGTGTGCGATTAGGATTGGTCTTGAGTTTTTAATTCAAACGGTTTTATCTATTCATTTTCTCCTGACTTTTCCATTGGATAACTTAGTTTTCACAGGTTGCATATTTTCTGATATATTTACTCCCATCTCCTAAACTGAATCGTCGTTAGCTTATTTTTTTCTTCTTTTTGTCTTGATACAACACCGCAGGGCAGTACAAGGTTGTCTGAGCTCACGGCCAATTATTGTATGTGCAAAGCTCGCCAAATGTTCGGATATGGCATTGATGGACTGAAATTGCAAGTTGGGTCGTTTGGGTTTGAAAAATAGACGAGGTTTGTAGTCTCAGACATAACATGAGACGTTGCAAGCTAAAACATGAAATGAAGGAAATCTTGAGGATGAAGATTTGGACATTAGGATTTTGTTTTTTTTGTAATCTCCTTTGTAAATGGTTAATGATGTAATGTACTTGGAACTTTGTCTTGAAAGTTGAATGGATTCGAGCAAACTTGATGTTTACTTTGCATTTGAAATCTAGGTTTCTCTTGATTTTACAATGATTCAAAGAATGACCATATAATCCTAGAAACTCCAAGAAAGAATCTGAATATTCGAAGAGACATTCTCTCTCAAATTGAGCTTGAAATTCTCACCTTCCTTTGATTTAGTATTAACGAAATCCCATGGCTATAGTGTGAATAAATATCTAGTGGCTATGTAAAAGAGTAAAATTGTAATGAACATGTAATTATTTTTTTGTGAGTTTAAGTGAAGCCTTCTTCAAAACATCTTCTAAATTTCCCCAAATCTTCTTTAATAACTTGCACCTCAAACAATGATTGAGGTCTTATTGAGATTCACTGATGGACACAACCTCGTAAGGAAGCTTCTTGACTGACACCTGATTAGGGAAATAAACCCCAATCCAAACGGTGATTAAAACACAAAAAGAAGCTTAATATCTTAGCTCATGGCCACTTGGATGAAACCTTGTAGGAGGACCTTAGCCTTGTAGCCATATCATGTAATGAACGAAACCAAAGTGTTGAGAAGAAGTCCTTATAGGATGTATAGCCAAAGCTTTGGAGATTCATTGATAAACTTGAGCATAAGGGATAAACCCTAATTCATTATCCTTGCACTTTAAGTTGAGATAAACCTACAAAGGATAGAGAAATCCTAATGCATAAGTGAACCCTTATTCTTCTCGACCTTTGATCCAATATGCCAAGCCTTGTTGTTAATGAATGCATGTTGTGTTAAATGACCTACTGGAGAGGATATGTACATGAAGGATATGAGATGCATAAGCCAGATAAAAGTGAGAGGGTAGGACAAATTTGGGGTATTACAGCTGCCCCTATTTAATCATCTTAAACCTAAAAGTACGATTGGCGCGTGCCTTTCGCAAGTTCGAGGTAGAAGACGGTTAAATATCAATGCCAAAAATTTGTTCTGAGGGAGTGTGCGTACTTATTTATTTTTTGCAGCATTCACTGGAGTGTTAAAAGAAGTGAGACTAAACCGAAGGTATACGTCGATTAGGACACGACGACATCAGAGTAAATCGATCAGGACACGACGAATGTTTGAATCGATACGGACGAGTATCGAAAGAAGATACGAACAAGTATCAAGAAAGGTTAAACACGGACAAGTGTTTGAATCAATACAAAAGAGTATTGAAAGAAGATACATACGAGTATCAAGAGGTTAAACACGGACGAGTGTTTGAATTGATACGGACAAGTATTGAAAGAAGATATAGACGAGTATCAAAAGGTTAAACACGGACGAGTGTTTGAATCGATATGGACGAGTATCGAAAGAAGATACATACGAGTATCAAAAGGTAAAACACGGACAAGTGTTTGAATCAATATGGACGAGTATTGAAAGAAGATACAAACGAGTATCAAGAAAGGTTTAAACACAGAAAAGTATTTGAATCAATACAGATGAGTATTGAAAGAAGATACACACGAGTATCAAAATGTTAAACATGGACGAGTGTTTGAATCAATACAGACGAGTATTGAAAGAAGATACAGACGGGTATCAAAAGGTTAAACAGGGACGAGTGTTTGAATCAATAAGGACTAGTATTGAAAGAAGATACATACGAGTATCAAGAAAGGTTAAACACGGACTAGTCTTTGAATCAATACGAACGAGTATTAAAACAAGATACAGACGAGTATCAAGAGGTTTAAACACGAGCGAGTGTTTGAATCAATACAGATGAGTATTAAAAGAAGATATAGACGAGTATCAAAAGGTTAAACATGGACGAGTGTTTGAATCAATACAGACGAGTATTGAAAGAACATACAAACGAGTATCAAGAAAGGTTAAACACGGACGAGTGTTTGAATCAATACGGACGAGTATTAAAAGAAGATACAAATGAGTATCAAGAAAAGTTAAACACAGACGAGGGTTTGAATCAATACAGATGAGTATTGAAAGAAGATACAGACAAGTATCAAGAGGTTTAAACACAGACGAGTGTTTAAATCAATACAAACGAGTATTGAAAGAAGATACAGATGAGTATCAAAAGGTTAAACACAGACGAGTGTTTGAATCAATACAGACGAGTACTGAAAGAAGATACAGACGAGTATAAAGAAAGGTTAAACACGGACCAGTGTTTGAATCAATACTGACGAGTATTAAAAGAAGATACAAACGAGTATCAAGAGGTTTAAACACAGAAGAGTGTTTGAATCAATACGGACGAGTATTGAAAGAAGATACAGACGAGTATCAAAAGGTTAAACACGGACGAGTGTTCGGGGAACTGACACGAATGAGTTGAGTGTTCGGGAAATTGAAACAGACAAGTGTTTAGGAAGACTGATTTATTTTTCAGAAGTGAGTTGGCTACTAGACGAGAACTAGGGTTTGAATGATGAGGTGTATTGAATTTTCTGGGAATTGTGAAGGTTAAGGTCACTAGCTGGGGATTTTGGAAGCGATTCCCTCTTGTAGGGATGTATTATTGTCCTTGGATGATTCAGGTCTTTCATGTAAAGTACCTGATTTGGCTTATGCTTCATATGCATGTTTGAATTTCTTTTGCCGCAAAGATACGTTCTGATGGATCGGCTACGCGATCTTGAGGATGAAATGTTATGCAATGATAACTATATGCAAATGAAAAGTAATAGACTTCATGGGGATAAGCGAAAGCTTGCTTGTTTGAAACTGTTGCTCATCACTGGAGATGCCAATACATATTGGCGCTGGAAACCTGTAGTACCAAACATTGTTGGGGATACTGATAAGATTTTGCATTGGGGAGCTCATGATACCGAAGATTATCAATGATCCTGCTGAAGATTGAAATGCCGACGAAGCGAGTTTACGGGTACGCCGCTGAATTATGAATTGCATTTTTGGGGAAGAGATGATATGGCTTGATTTCTCTATGTCTTGAATCACTTAGAGGGTGGTAGAACTGAATACACCGAAGAATGGACACTGAACACCATGTGGATCTCTTAGAATACATGCCCCAAGTTTACGCCACACTGAGGAATTACCTCTTGAATCACTTGGGGGTAAAAGATGTGCATGGACACCCGTGAATGCCCCAGTTTAGCTCCACTGGGGATGCACTTGCGTGTTCCGAGTTAAAAAACGACTCTGAACTTTCTGAATTCACTTGGGGATTAGGTTCGAAATTGTCTGTAGTAGATGAAGGCGGCTTCGTGCGCTGGCCAAGTTAGGGTGACCGTTATGACACTTTTAACTTGATTATAGTCATTTCGTACAACATAATTAGCTCGAAAAACTTTGCGAGTACAAATCCAGAATGCCCCTCTCTGGAGGATCTATGAGAAGATCTATGCTGAATAGAAGACCAGAATATCCATGCCACAATATGATATGAGGTGGCATGCCCTATTGTCTTGAGTCACAAAGTAAACTACTCTTGATAACAACTTTCTTGGAGAGATTTTTCGAATCTCTACTTAACTGCCCCAGATTGGATGAATTCAGAATAGATTTCGACGTGATAGCGCTTGATCAACGACAACCTGAAGAGATTTATCGACATGATAGCCTCTGATTGATAGCTTTGAGGGAACGCCCCAGATTTGGATGAGTGTGTAGAGATCGACTTTCGACTTGATTGCCCCAGATTGGCGTAATCTGCTAACTTCATCCTTGAAGGATACTCAGAATGTGAAGCACCAAGATGTTTTCTCTAGACAGAATCATTGGTTAACATGCCCCTAGATAAGTCATTTCTCTTGTGACAACTGACTCTTACTTCAACAGAGTATTCGAGCCTCTCTTCTCTGATAAGAGTGGGCTCTTTACTGATTGTTCATTGTGTAAATTTACTTGATGTCAATCAGTTATTTTGTATGTAGAAGAGTGTTTATTATGAGAATGATAATTCGAATGCAACACATATGTAAGTCTTAATGTTTGAAAAAACTTTGAATGAAATGATGTCACAACTTTATTATGAACGAGTCATTAACTAGAGAGCAACATTTGCAAATTCTTTTTGATGAAAGATAATGTAAGCATATGACACCAACATAGATATTCAAACATACCTCTTAGGAGTTAGTTAAACCTTATCTTGTTGTAGCACGCTTTCAAATTGACCCATGCTTTAGTTTGGATTCTTATAGGTTGTAACGTGGCTTGGTTCACGGTTTAAGAAAAAAGTATTTGAGGCTCAAAATTATTTAGTGCCCACCCATTCTCCATGATGTTCTCCATTCTTACGTTCAGTTTAACCGATACAATCATTCATCTCTTGTGAAGAGTTTGGGATGGTTGAGGAATCACTGTGGTTTCATGGATAAGACAGTCACTTCACCTTTTGCTTTTGGTGTCTGATCACACGACTTTGTTCTTCTGACGAGGATTTTTATTGGTAATTGTTGTACCCCAAAATTTGCCCTCCCATATTCTTCAAGATTTGTCAAGAATCATCTTCAAATGGTTCAAGACTTCTCAAGGGTTTCACAGTCCAACTGCCTCCTAAGCCAGTCATAATTAGGGTTTTGGTTCTTGCAATGAATCTGAGGTTTTCAATGGTCCAATCAAGTCCCATAGGCCTATATACATTGCCAAGCATCTACATGACAAGTCTCAAGGCTCACAGGGTCAAATTGCACAGTCAAAAGCCCTATTTGGTTCACAATCAATTGCAGGGGTAAAATGGTCATTTTACAGTCAAAAGTCAGAATTTTTGGTCAACATCTTATTTTGAAGCCACAATAATCATTTTATCAAGTCTTGATCATGATTCTACAAACATGGCTCAAAAATCATCAAGGTGTCAAAAGTTTCTATTTTGGGACAGTTGAAAAGTCAATTGTAACTTGACCAGGGCATAACTTTTTCATGGTTCATCAGAAAAATCCCATCCAATGCTAATTTTGAAGGGGATGACATTTCCTACAACTCATCTTCACACTCCAAGTCCAAGAAATGCTCTCACAAATAGTTATCAATTTCTACATTATAGGTCACTTTCAAAAGTCAACAAAAAGGCATTTTAAGTCAAAGACCATAACTTGAGATTGGTAAATCAAAATGACATGGGACCAAAGG